TCGGGAGCTCCCGAGGCCTTGGGGTGGGGGCGGGCAATGCCACAGGCAGGAGCTGGGCTCCAGGAGGGACCATGGGCTCTGCCCGCCATGGCAAAACCAACCCCCCCCTTAGCAAAAGGGGTTTGGGGGCAGCAGGAGCAAAAAGCAGGCAGAGAAGGGTGGGCTGGAGAAAGATGCTGATGCATGATGCATCTCGAGAGCCCCTGCCCTGCACCCAGGTGGTCCTCTGGAGCAGCGTGCGAGGGCACGGCCGGGTCCTGACTCCTTCCCCACGCTCCACTTTAGTTAAAGCAAAAATAATTGGGTAGAGCCATAATTACAGTCTTAGTTTGACTGCTCATTGAATCTGCAAGAAAAACCACAAGGTGGGGGGCACAGAAGCAGCTCCGCCTACAGCTTTCCGAGCTGCACGAAGAGTTGAGCGTCACCCTAAAAAATGCCCGTGCCCAGCCCCCAGCGCCGTGTGGCCGTGCCGGGGTCCAGGTGCTGCGGCTGCGCCAGGAACACCCTCCACACGCCGCAACGGGGGGTGGGGGGGAAACGTGGGTGACCACAGGCTGCTGCTCCCCAGGGATGCTCTGCCCATCTCTCTGCCCACTGGCACAGCTGCACCCAGGCTGCCAGAGCCCCACAGGCCCCTCGGGAAGGGAGCGGGGGAATGACACCCGGTGCAGCCCTTGGTGCCCTCGCACGCAGCCAGGCAGGGCTCTTACCCCGTGCTGCCGATTCCAGCCCTCCCGGCATGGATGCTGGATGTCACCAGGGGAGGACATGGCAGCCTCGAACCGCAGCCCAACATCTCAAACCAGCGGGAACCAGGGAAATCCCGAACACGGGCATGGCTCAGCCCTGGGACCGGGGAGGCGCCTCTTTGCCCTCAGCCACGGGGTCTGCACGAGTCACAGCTCTGCGCGTCGAAAGCCACTACCCCGCTCCTGCAAAGCCTGGGGCTCTGTGTGGCCACGTCCCCGACTCTGAAAAGACCCCAGCCCCGCGTGCCCAGGCCAA